CATATGCATCCGACATGTTTTTGAATCGACCTGATTAAGATTGTTTACACATTGCAACTATTTAGTCTTCTTAAATATTTTAATATATATGGAGAAGCTGCCTGGTCGGTTCCATCCGACATGTTTTTGAATCGAGCTGATTAGAATTATTTACACATTGCAACTATTTAGTCTTCTTCATTTTTTTAAAATATAAGAAGAATCTGCCTGGTCGGTTACAAGAACCCGACGAAACATAAATCGTCAACCCTCCATCTCCCGTTTAAGGCTGTAGGGACAAGCTTGTGATGCATCTGTTGAAGTACAGGAACAGTAGCATACATTAAGACTAAAATAATGATAGTCAAAAGAGGATATGGAGGTCCCGGGAGTCCTGTATACTATACAGGACTCCCGGGACCTCCATATCCTTTTTATGTATACAGTGTATACATAACCCCTACGAGTGTAACTCTAGGGGGCACTAACATCCCTACAGACCTGCCGGTTGCTTAGCAGATAGTACGTTGTAGCTTGGCTCACGCCTAAAATCTACACTAGACTTCGACCTTTGCATGGATGAATTTTTAATATTTGATACTAAAATTTATAATATTATCTTCATAGTGCCTAAGGGACAATTGCAGAGGAAACTTCATTGACAGGTTGCTCACTTTTACTTTCAAAACTTTATAACCTCTTTTTAAGCTTACTTTGATGCTTACAAACCTTCACTTCATTTTTAAACTTTCACATTTTGTCTATACTTTGATTCTCAAATGAGATCTATCTACTCGTCTTCTGTTGGAAAAATAGAATTGTAAATGAAACTAAATCATATAATCATTGGCTTCGAAAACCTCTTAAAGATAAATAAGATTCTTGAAATAAGTTTTTTTTCCCTTCTTCTCTTTTATCTTTGGCTCCTTAATCTTTTTGAAGTCAACTTTCATGTGACTTTCATTATTTTGGACAAAGCTCTGTTTATGTCTTTGGTAGTTACAGCTTCATAACTTAACTCACATTTTTTTTAACAATGCTCTTCACTTCACTCTCTTTCATTGTGCTTGAATTGCCGTTCTTACTACACTTTATTCCCGACTTTGGACAAATATAATTTCACCCCTGACTAAATCATTATTCTCATCTTTTATCTTACCACTTTCGCTAGAGCTTAATTCGATATATAAGATTGTAATTCAACTCCATTACCATTATCTTGCACTAATTTTCAACATTTATTCTTTGCGCAAGTCAGTAGTATACCACGAAATAAGCTATCAAGGGATTTTATACAAATCACTTATCGCTTAAAAGTAATCAAATCTTATCAGCCGTGAACACTTAAATACTAGGCATTTTTTCCTAGTCTTGTCATATTTGTCAGTATGTATTATACTTTTCTTCACTTATATGAGATTTTATTTGTCAAAATTTCTACTACTCAACATCAATATTATGCATGTGGAAGATGCCACATTTCAAACTTTATATAAATTCTACCATCAATGCAAAGAATGGACTTATTTTGCCAAGGTCCTTTAACATTTGGATGAAGAAGAAAATTATTATTCTGTATTATTATTCTGTAGAAATTTATGTAAAAGACAAGATCTTGCTGTGAAACTAAGCTTATTGATGAATTTCATTTAGAATTTGAATAGATTCGATTCGAAAAAAATTCAATTTCACCAGATCTCATGAAAAGAGAGATAAAAGTATTATTTTACAAATTCGAAAATGAAACACATTAATCACATCAATTCATTTAAACATTGAACTATATAATAAGATGATATTTTATGATGAAATAAATTTAATTTTGACGACGTATATGAGATTGGAATAAATTTCAAAGCTGGCAAAGATTTCTGAATATGTTTTTTCAATTTCTTTTCCTTAATTTGACTTAAAATTTTGATATTATTTTATAATATAAATTCTCATCACTCTCATAGATGCTTTATGTTCGGGATAACTTATATAAGATATTTATTGTTCTAGTTTCTCTTTGAATTGAATACTGATTGGAATAAATAGAGAAAAGACATTTTTTAGACGATACATCAGATGTAAATATGAGGTAAATCAAAGATGGATATGCAATTGCATGCACACTTGCAAAGCTGCGTATTAGTTAATTTCAAACAAGAATGAGCTGGAAAACTGTATTAGATCAGCTAATAATTGCTCCTACAATCCAACAAATCATAGTGTATTCCATTGTAAGTTCATGATTGTAGTTTGAGCTAAAATATGTTGTAACAAAATTAGTCATTACGTTGTATAGATATGAATTTTTGGTCTAACATCAGTAAGCAAGTAGATATGAGAATCACACATCATCATATATGATCTACTGAATAACAAGTTTACAATAAAAGAAATACTATTTCAATCTTTTCATCAGACAATTTGCTCGTATAGAGGATATAATGCCTTCTCAATGTCATCAACACATTTTTCATAATTAGATGACTTTTGAACTATGTTCTGATTTTTTATTTATATAGAAATTTTTCTCTGTATCAAATGACATCAGAGTGTATTGCTTGACTTGAAAGATGACAAAGATTCATTCATATTAAGAAATAATTATTATAAGAAAATTACCTACATGCTGTTTCTCTAAATTGTGAAATTGGAAAATGAAATCAGTATATTGTGATTTAATGACTTTTAATAGAGCATTGAAAAAAAGGGTATAAAATAAAAGGATATATATAGCACAAGAGTATCAAAGTACTCATATTGTCTTGGCCTATGAGATAGATTGATTGATTTGATTATTTGACAAAATATCACGGAATCGTGTATTTGCTAAAGAACTCTAGTTACAGCTTGTACATACAACGTGCATGTAGACACGATAGAAAGCCGAAAGAATGTATCACTTGAGATATTGCAATATAATAATTCAACGGTGGCTGAATAATTTTTGTATCTGGCCTTTCCTATGTAATGCAATAAAGTATGTTTCATCGGGCTACTTATTCCATCCAAATATATTTCTCGTCATCCACTTCATAGTTCATATAGTATATTCTTGTAACAATACAAAACATTATCACCGTCGATTCGATAAAGGATGTATCAATTCGAAAGAGTATGTAGCAAGATTGATTAGATTCGTGAGATTCGAAGAATATTTCATCCAAGAGGACATCCATTTCCTGAGGAGGCTTTGTGGTTTTCCAGAATGCAACGTAATTTCATAGAAGAAACAAACAGCAAATTCTAAATGTGTCTCTACCCAATCCGAATGCGCAGCTTTGACCCTTTCGAACAAGTCAGATAACCTTGCTTCGGCTGATGATGTAAGCTTCAAAGGTTGGAGTCACAAATTTGGAGATTATAGGAGCCCCAGATATCTAACTCTATCACAACTTTACTACTTCATTTTGACTTTTACTACTTTACTCCTTTTGTTTATTGAAGGGTTTCTTAAACGACTCAGGTTCGAATCTTGCATGGTTCTATTCAAGTCTGACAGACTCTTCATACACGAAGCAGAACATGAGAATATTTTTTGCTAGAGCTCTAGATGATCAATTTTTCTTTTGCCATTCTCAGCGGAGGCTGCACAATTGCACAAGATGTCCGCGATGGAAGCCATTGAACGGTTCAGAAACAAAATTTCGAGTACCATATTGTAGGGTTTATAAAATTTGAGGATCTCATGATAGATGCTTCTGTAATCATGGTGGTCCTCTGAGGGATTCCGTACGTCGAAATTCTGGGTCTCTCTGCTCGCTTGACCTCCACTCGAGATAATGAGTCGATGAATGAAAGGCCATTTTTGCATCTTCTCGGTGGCCATAGACCAGCATTCAGTACCAAGTTTCACTGATTTCTCTGAATTAGCGCATGTTCATCACTTCCTTCATCTGTGTACACTTGATATCAGCTCAGCAGCACTGCTTAAAAAAGCTGACAGTGATTTCTACAGTCAAAGCTTACGAAGATGAAATTTCTTTTCTCCCAAGCAGATATCAATTGCCCAGATAGAATTTAGTCAGCATGCTTTACAACATCTCGCTATGGGCTGCTTCTCTCGCTTCGACTCGTCCCAATTGAAAGTGTACTCTTGAATCGACGCAAATCTCATTCATATTGCAAGGAGTTTCTCCCAGTCAGTCGATGTCCCTCGAGACGATGCAATAGTTAATTGGATTCTTGTGCGTAAGTACTTGAATAGATTTCTGAAATCTAACGTTACTATGATCGATTCGTCGGCGTTTGTCTGAAAGTGAGCGCTTGGAGATAAAGCTCATGAGGAACGACGTGGAGACAATCAGAACCTTGTACATGAGACGTATGAGCTGATAAATGTTTCGGCCTATCTATATGGAGCACCTGTCACATAGGAAAAGTTGACATTATTGATGTTGGGGTATGAACATTCGTACTTACAGATGTTATTACGTAAAGGTGAGAGATGGGACACGAAGAGCGGGTTGAAAGACGGTGGTCCGCAGTCTTTTCAATTACGTTTTGTCGCAATTGAAGAATTGTAACCATCTGGAAGATGGAACACGCGCAGAGAAGCTGACCATGTTTTGTGCCGTTCAGTCTTCGAGAAAAACTGCGGGTCAAGGACATGCTGTAAAGGGTGAAAGAGATGCAAACGATTGTTCATGCGACCTTTTCTTGTAAGTCCGGTACTGAAATTTCAGGATTTCTTGCAGGATCTTGTGATTCTACAGTTTCAAAGATAAGCTGACAATTTTGAATTTTAAAAGATTGACATTCTCATATACACGAATGTTATGAGGTGAACGACCTTGTAATCACTGGATATTAGGTGATGGACAAATATTTTCCCAATATAAATCTTGTACGAATGGAGATATCGATCTAGTATTCGAAAGAGACATCGGGACTGATGGCGCTCTGTCTTGGATGGGCTTCGATCGTGAAACTGCATATGTGGAATAGTATCATTTGCAAGGTTAAATTTGTGCATCAAAACGACTTGAAAGACTTTGCAGCTCACAGCGTCGCTGTTTAATACCCTCTGCGCCGGAGATAGATACTTTGATAAAATATGATCATTATAAATGTGAGTTACCAGACGAGCATTACAATTCTAGGAGACACTCCGGGGTCTTTCGAGAAGACTCAGTTACATTCTAATTCCCCATAGCTGAGCTCGTTACGTGTACTCTTGTTCAGTGTTTTTAAAAAAAGAGCTGGAGCCGCTCAGCTTCAGATTCTATGAAGCCTCTTGTTTCTAATGTAGAGAGCTGCAACAGAGAAATTCAAAAGTAAAGCATGAGAAAGGAGCGATGATTGTTGACCTGAGCCCTTACTGATAGTAGGAGAACCAAAATCAGTTACCAAACTGTGATTGCGGCCGGTTGCAGGTTTCCGATGACCCGAAAATTAATCTGTAGAAACTAGAACAAAATGTTGAAATGCTCAGAATGGAGGGATGCGGAAATTTCTGGAAGAAGCGGAGCTCTTTGTCGTTCCTCTGGAGTATAGTCCCTCGTTTCTCCGTAATAGGCATCGATGTCGTTACGGTATCAGCCAGACGCAGTTCTGCAATAAACTTCACTCCCTCTTAGCATCATGGGAGCTCATCAATACAGTCCATTTGAAAACCGCGTGTAAGATCTAAACAACAGCAATACACAATTATAGCTGATCATGATATCTACACTGTCAGATTTTCTTGAATATACTGCTGATATTGGCAGCCACGAGAGAGAGGTTCATGCGGAGGTAACGCATTCTGGGAAGTTTTCGATTTTGGCCTATCTTCCATACCTGCCCAGGACCCAGACCGTCATTGGAGACTTAATCGCAATACAACTGTTTCTCATGATCAGAGCGAGACTAAGAGGACTTTCCTTGGGGAATTGGGAAAGAAAGTACATTGGATACGAAAACAGGGCAAGCTCCTGTCTCAGGTTTGACTTTTCTTTTCGATTCCCCCGTGGGTTTACTGCTGTAACTGTTGGATCACAGACCCCTTTGTTTTGAATCTCGTGAAATCGATCAAATAGAAAACAAGCTTAGAACCTCTGGATATGCTCACTTATAAGAATGTCATCATACGCACACACACAACTAATTTCGCTTCAAGATTCCAACGATAACCGGACATGATCGTGGGCATAAGAACAACAATAAACTCGAATAAAGCATATAATAATCGAAATGAGAATTGTGACCAGATCTATCCTAGACTATGCCAAAAGCAAACCTAGGCAAAGTACAGGTGCAGATAGTCTGCAAACAAGAACGAAATACTTTTTTTGGAATTTTGCTTCTCATGCTATGAAGAATATTCAGACGACGCATTCTTTCAGTTTTATGTTGTCAGCTGGACGGTATTCAAATTATATACTAAAGCCAACATCAAGACAAAATCATCTTCCCCCGTCCCTCTCTACATTGATGAAACTTGTAAGCAAATGGACATGCTCTATCACTAAACATGATTTCTCATCGTCTACATCGAAATCGCTGGGCTTCTCCACTCTAGCCTACTCATTGTAGGGGTGGGTCTGGCTATGGGACAAATTGCCAAAGATAGCGTTGACGAGTTCGTCGCACCATGGTTAGCGTGCATGCAGTAAGCGTGCACTTCCATATGCGTAGACCTTTCCAGCTAACATACACAACCTCGCGGCGTAGCGTTCTTAATGTGCTGTGAGACCGTCATTCGTGAGTGACGACGACAGTCTCAAAAGATAGTATGATTATCTCTTGCAAAGCTCCAACGCTTTACGATTGCTCCCAAAAGTTCAGCAACTTAGTTTTTTCTTATCTTCTTCAACTTTTTGCAATTACTTTAAAAACTAGTTGTCAAGTTGCCGTGGAACAGTTCGCATTACAATATGGTCCAGTAAGACCGGATGACTTACTGGACCGGATCCGGCCTCACTGGACCGCCTTCACTCGATATACACTTTCTGGTCAGGAACGTGATTCCATAACGTGCAGTGCTCCAATTTTATAGTCTATGTGGTTAGTTACCACTGTAGCCGTGAGTAGGACTGAGAGAACGACAGTGCACACAATCAGACGAACTATGCGCGCGCAGGGTCCTTAATTGCAAGCAAATCCGAAAATGAATGACAGCTTGGTATTATAGGATCATTCACTAAGTCAAAGATTTGGAGGTCGTGCTACTTGGTTGATGACACTATGATAAATTCCAGTTCTGAACTGCCTAGTATAATAATAATTGTAAAAGCGTAACAATAGAACCGCTACTTGAATGAGGAAGAAGTTGGTTGAAGCGTTCCCAAGAGTGGACCTTCAAATGAACTAAGTCACATTGATGCCTTTTACGCTGCTTTACGCTGATTATGCCATTCACACCATTTATTAAACCAGTACAATTTTTCGGCATAACCATTTCAGTGCGAACTTGGGAACTTACAAACAGTACTGCGGTAATACTTGATTCGTGTTTTACTGACATCAGCGAGTCTTGGAGAAAAATATGCAATAATTGAGAAAAAATATAATTATGATAAAGGAGACCTAGAATTCAATCACATGGTTAAGAAGTGACGGGCAAAAGTAGCATGCATCTTAAGTAAGAGCACAGGTATGATAGATAGCACAAATGCCAAATCGCAAACAACGGGTTTCAAATATACTATTGTTACACACATAAATGCAATGCATATGGATATCAAGGGTGGTTGCATACAACTAGAAAAATGATCCGGGCACTTTCTAGAAAATCTAAGTATTTTTTAGCCCGAGTGGGTGTTTATAAGACCACCACTTATACATACGCTTGCGTTGCTTAATGAATTGAAGACATATTATGAAAAAATGTTAGATTATTGATCTAAAAGATACAAAGCGAATTAAGGTAGAAGTAGCATAAAGAGTCCAAGTGAATTGTGGTATGGTGCAAATTTCATATACATTGGGTAATGTGGCAATTTTTTTCAAATGATTAGGTGGTGGTGACCTAAGAGTGTAGTTTTAGAACAAATACAGAGAAGCAACTAGGAGATAGATCGGCCTTCTCCTCGCTTCTCTTTACCAAGTGTTGACTCACGTATTGCCTTCTTTCCCTTTTACTTCGTAGTTTAGTCTACGTGGTTGCTACACAATTGAACTTCGTAAGTCTTTCGTATTTCGCATAATCCATGCATGATATTATAGCTCTTGTAGTATTGACATATCACATAAGATGCTTTGAAATATAGTAATCCAAGCATTTCACCGTTTTCTCCGCATTGCAATATATTTAAGCATCTTTTCTCACATACGTTACATTTGAAGTTGTGACATTGGAATTTTACATTCAGTTGAATGTCAAATTGGTATTTTATATTTAATATCATTTTTAGTAGATGCATACAGCTTGCCTTATTGTTGACTAATTTATTTTTACCAGTTTCATGCATGTTCATCAAAACTATTGCAAGGTAGAAGTTGGTCATATTTCTTGTCATATTAATAATAGGAGAAATAACTTTAACACAAGATTGTAATATATTTATAGGTGATGTTCATCCAATTACTCTATAAAAAATAATAAAAAAGACTCATATAAAACTATAGATTGAAAATAAAAATTTTAACTTTAATTCTTCAAATTAAAATGGCTATAAAATATTTTGCGTTATAAAAAGTAATTTGCAACAATATGATTGAATTCATATTCCAAAATCATCAACAAAGATTTTCTTTTTCAAAATTGTAACAAAATGCAAAAAAAATTCAATATAAGGTGAAAAGTTTTCCAGCTTATAATTCATTCAAAAAACATCATTGTCAAACTACTGTTTTGATTTCAAAGTTCATTATTTTAAACTCTTAATATGGAGGCTGATGTTTATTGGCAGTGAGATCATCATCATTGAAAATTAATTGTTAAGAGTATCAAAAAATTAAAAAAAAATGAAACAGATATGATTAAACATATATGAAATTTTGATATTTAAAGTTTATAGCAATTTTTTTTCTCAATAAATTATAGAAAAAAAATTTCATCACTACATAAAGTTGTGAGATAAATTCAACCTCAAGTTCATTTTATTTCTTTAATTAGAAATTTCAAATATTTCAAAAAATCGATAATAATAATAATAATAATGAAACTGTATTCATAATTTGAATAGAATATATGACAATTTTGAGCAATAGCCAAGTTTTTCAACATATGTAAAAAACACTCCACACAATAATGCTTTTCTATCAAAACACAAGCTATTTCAATGATGTTCTTCAAATTCAAGATTTGAACTAAACTTTCAAATCAAATAATCAATCTTATTTTTCAGTTTTAGTTTGAAATTGGAAACATGATATTATATTATGATTGTGCAATCATTTGAAACAAGAAAGTTTAAAACTAAAATAACTAAATAGTAATGGATCTATTGACATTTTAACATAATATAAAATTTTATCATAATTGAAGAAAATATGTGCAATAGCTTTCATTAAATCAAAAAAATTATATACTGTTCAAACATGTTGAAAACAAACTTTTATTTCTTGAAGTAGTTTGTAACAACATCTTGATAAAAAAAAAAGATTAAAATTTTGAATATTATATATAATAAAAATGTGTATGCTATATTTAGGTTTTTTTTTCAAAGTCTGTATTTTGGTATAAGATTAAGCTTGTATGATTATCTATATTAGACTTTTTTCATGATTGATTTTGTTATCATGATTTTTATTAGTTTTACAAACTTAGTTTAACTATTTTCCATGATAAATATTTAAAATCTAACAATTTTTAAGTGAAAATGAACAAGTTGGTGAGAATTTTTTTTATATTTTATCCAAAATAATTCACTTCAAGTGAAACTTCAAAATTTTATCTTTTGCTTTCACCATCAAACAAATGTCAAACCCGTTCAAGCTACAGCTGAATAATATTTAATCTTTAATTAATTTAAATGATAAATAAAAAATAAAATTCAATATTCATTTAATGCTATGAATACTAAATTATTTCAGAATATGTTATAACGAGAAAAATGCAAAGCCAATAAATTTTCCAAATTTGAAATATGTCATCAATGATTGATTATCTACACAATGTCATATACTTTAAATAAATTCATAAGATAAATTAGACCCTGAAATACAATGATCAAAAATTTTCATGAATAGAAAAAAAAATATGAAAAAAAGATTTGAATTTCATTATTTTTGGTGATAATATATTTGCCATATCATGTAAGATGAATTTAAAATTTATAAATAAAAATAATATCAAAATATAAATAAAATTTAAAACCGGAAAAGTAGTTCAAATAAGTCAATTAATCAGCCAACTTGGAAAAACTTTACTGAAATTTCTTTAAGTAAACATTTAAATTATGTAAAGATTTGATCTTTAGAACAAAAAAACCGTTGCTTTATAACATTTTTGAGAATACCAATTTCACTAGAAAATTTCAATCAAAGGAATGTATAATTTTGATAATTTAAAATTATTTTTATTCAATCTGGATTTTCTATAATTTATATCATTCTATTCATTTTGTGACATATTTCATAAATGTTCGGAGTTTTATTTTTTCAAAATTTTTATCCTTAAGCTAGCTTTAAAATTTATTCAGCTTTAGGATTCAAATAACAGCTAAGAATTAAATTGAATTTTTTTAACAAAATTTCTATTCTATTTATAAAAAAATTCAAAAAATTCAACGTGAATTTTTTGGAAAGAAATATTTAATTTTATACTAGAAAATGATGCGATGTATATGTTTAGAATTAGAGATGTAAATTCTACAAATCCCCCTAGAAATAAATTTTTCAAATATCCATATTGTAGTTTAGTCTAGGCTAGTACTTGTTGTGACTACGTTAAACAAATTATAGCTGAGTTGTTGAATTTTTTCTATCAGATTTTTTTAAAGTGGAGTCGATAAAAAACATTTGTAAAGTAGCAACAATCAAGTGTCACATTTTCTTCTATGATTGCATTAAAATTTACTGACGCGGATTAGTATTATATTAGCTACTTGATAAATCTAAGTCAATTGGAATATAATTTTAACTTTTGAAAGGTCAAAGTGTACCTAAAACATGTTTCCTTAGAATTATTGTGAGTTTTTATATCTTTTGATTTTAAGATACAGATTTAATTCCATAGAGTATATTTCTTGAGAGAATTCATATAGAATGATAATAAAAAACTCAGAGTTGTTTTATATAAAGAGATTTAAACATTAATGGATGATCTCAACTTTTTTTAATGAAAATGGACTTTCTCTCAGATTCATTAGATACTAAGATTGTCATGAAATGATACATTTAAAAAATTTTAGATTCTGCTTTAGAAAGTGGACTAGATTAAGTACAACGATCAGGAAATTTTTCCATACGTTTTAGATAAGCTTTTCACAAATTAATCAGATTTGAACTTGATTTACAACAAGTAATGTCTTAAAATGGAAGATTAATCCATATATTTAAATTTGAACATCTTTCCTTACTTTTTGACATGTATTGATGATTATATTATATTTAGATAAACTCATGATTTAAATGAAATGAGGATAAATTTCTAAAAATAAATATATCTAGAATCACTCCTAACTAACATTGAGACTATAATCCAATCTAAAATGGTCATAAAGCGGTGACGAATTTTAAACTTGAGAAATGGTGCTAAAATTGGGCCTGTATGAAGCTTCAAGACGCTTCAAACAAAATCACCAAATGGGGTCATTCAACTTATCAAAGTTCCATTGGAGACAAAGCGGTTTGTAGATTTGACTACATGGAAAACTGCTGTCTCTCCCTGTATCCAAACCACGTCATTCAAAAGTGACTACAGACAAAAACAATCAGTCTCCCGCCTCGGAAATTTGCCCTTCAGTCATCTGAGATGACTGAAAGGCAAATTTCCCATCTCCCATCCTCTTGATCAACCGATAGGTTGTAGTCTTTAGCACTTTATACGATACAGCCCTTGTTTGTGAAATATGCAAGTATGAAAAAGGCTACGTTATCACGAATGAAATGAATCGCTTGGATGAAACCTGGGCAGTAAAGAAATATTTGACAATCGTATTCCAAACAAGTCAAGTATCTATATTTATACAGATATATCTAAAGATAACCGAAGATAATCTTTTGGCTGTTAAGGCTATCGTGTTCCCGCTGACTTTCATCTAATCATGCGAAGGTAGATCTTGCCTTGTTTCAGTTTAGGACAAGAAATGATACTACCTGTATCATCCTCTCGCCCAATGATTTAATGGAGACCCACCAATAATCGTCGCATGTGGCTGCAGGAAGTTATCGTCTTCTTGCATAGCAAGTTTCTGGGGTACGAGAATCATGTGGGGAATCGATTCTCCGAATCAACAGCAATTAGTAAGCTCCTTGTTACTCTAACTGCGGTTAGACCACGAATCCAGACTTGCTTCCCGCCCACACATACTGCAAGTGCTTGCTAGAGAAACAGCAAATCACATCCTACCTACAGACAAGCGTCACCGAGTGCATGCTGTAACTTCTCCATTAATATTAACTCCATTTCGGTGAAAGCTTATTTTCAAGCACTGATTGTAAGTGCTGGCTTTTTGGAAAAGTTCGACAACTTTTAGTCAACGCTGGTTCCTAGCGCTTTCCACAGTGACAGCCGAAGGGAAGTGAGCTTTCCTGTAGATCCGGTGCGGGTTCAGAACGGTGGGACGTATAAGATGTGCAGAAGGGCAGTTGTTCATCACGCTCACAACTCTGATGGCCAACCACAGAGAGGTGCATCTCATGATCGGCAACAGTTCTGGTTGGAGCAGTCATGTGCCGAAATTTTAGAAACTGAGCACTGAAGCTACGTGTGCAGCTGCCCCATATTGCCTGCCTGGTGCGTTCCGGGCATTTTAATCAGAATCAAGTCTTGTCCGCAGGTACGTACTTTTCCCGATCAGGGCCACATCCGGCCACAGATGTCGTGTGGGCACTTGAAGTTGATTTGCCTTCCAATTTTTTCTCAAATTTAGATCGTCTGTCAACAGTTGTAATCTCACGAGTTCTGTCCCCAGTTAGAGTTTCTGGAATCGAGACAGAGAAGCTATGTCTATTCTCCTCGTGTTTTTTTAATCTGTTCTAGGGAAGTAAGTCTATTTTGTGTGCATACCACTGAAGACATGTCAAGCACAGCCTAAGCTGTGCGATGTTTACTTGAAGGTGCAGCGCCAAGCGTCCCCGTGAAATTCTGAAGATGAGAAGTTTTGAATGACTGACATTACCTGAATTGTGTATGCGTGTCATGCAGTACTGACATCATGGAGGCTCGAAGCGCTGGTTCTGTGTCCAAATTCATGCTGGAACGTAAGAGCTTGGGAGGGGTCAGTGCTATGATGATCCGCCGACAGATCATGTGGGCCGCAAGTGTCTGCGCCATCGTACTCTGCATGCAAGTTTCCATCCAAAGTGTTGGGGCTGAGCCAGTACTTGCGTCCAGTCTGGGATCCTGCAAACCCGTTCCTGTTCTCAAGGGAGCTCCACTGCATTGCTGCCTGCCCGAACCCAAGAGAGCTCCAATCAGATTCAAGTTTCCGCGTATACCTCGGACTTCCAGTGGTCGCCCGATTCTCAGGGAGAGGAAACCTGCGCACGTTCTGTCGAAGGACCCTGAGTACGTCAGAAAGTATAATCTAGCTTACGAAAGAATGAAGGCCCTCCCGGACACCGATCCCAGAAGTTTCTACAGTCAGTGGAGGGTCCACTGCTCCTTCTGTAACGAGGCCTTCCAGCAGCGAAAGACTCCGGGCCCTCTGGGCCCAGAGACCGGCGTTCTACTCCAGGTTCACTACAGCTGGACGTTTCTTCCGTGGCATCGAATGTATTTGTACTACCACGAGAGAATTCTCGCCAGTCTGATCAACGATCCCACTTTCGCGCTTCCCTTCTGGAACTGGGACAACCAGTTGGACAAGGACGCAGCTAAGATGCCCGCCATGTTCTTCCCCGACTTCGGCGTTCCCAACGCTGCCCTCTTCGACGAGTTCAGAAACTCCAACCACTTCCCTCCCAAGATCTTGTACCTGGGATACAACTCCAAGCTCGAAGCAGAGGGCCAACAGAATCTGACGGATCAGCAAATCAAGTACGAGAATTTGTGTGTCATGTACAACCAGGTGACCACAAAAGTCAGCGCTCGAGATTTCCTCGGGGGACCTTATGTTGTCGGAACTGATAATTCCGCTGCTACTGTCAACGTCAGCGCGGGTGAAGTTCCCGGAGAATCTGGTGGGATGGAGAGTGTGCACAACGTAGCTCACGAGTGGACCGGGCTCATCAATGACCCCGATCACCCCGACAACGAGGACATGGGCAATTTCATCTTCGCCGCCCGGGATCCCATCTTCTACACTCATCACTCCAACGTCGATCGTTTGTGGGACGTATGGAAAACCCTCCCCGACAAGATCACGAAATCGGGTCACAGGAAGAGAATGGACTACAACTCCAGGGATTTCCTCGACAGCGAGTTCACTTTCTTCGACGAAAACCAAGATATGGTGATCGTCAAGGTGAGGGACAGCCTTAACAGCGCCAAGCTCGGGGTCAAGTACACGGACGTGAGTGAGTCGGACAATCTGTGGATAAACTATGAGCCCATGCCTGCCCAGGAGTCCTCCAAGACCTGCAATGCCAGTGACTATCCTAAACCGTCTCCACACGGAGACAACTACATCGGCACGGATCCTGTAAGTTTTAAGCTGGATCGTCGAGCACCAACGAACAAAGATTGCCAAGAGAAAGGATTAAGCAATGTGGATGAGTTGCAGGAGAACGTGGTGCTGGAGAAGGTGAAGATCCCACACGCAGATTACGCCAGATTTGACATGTTCATCAATTACCCGGCAGCTCACAGGCAGTCTCATCTTTACATGGCGGAGTACGTGGGTACGTTCACTCATTTGCCTAGCGGCATGGTGGACATGAGCAACTCTGTTTCTGAAACGTCGAGCGAATCCGAGAAGTACCGAATTGTAACTATCCGGTACTCCGTCAATGCGGCGCTGAAACGACTGGGCATCACAGATTACAACACTGACATCGTAGTGACCATTGTCTCCAAGGGCAAGAGGAACAGCAGCCCGAAGAGCGGATTTGAGTTTTCCGACCTCAAACAAGACTTCCAGTAAGTGTGAGGAGTAGCCGTGTCCGAGTTTTACCTTAGCCTTGGTATTAACATTTAATGCCGATGGTGGTCAATTAGTAGCTGAATCATTCCTTTCTTCAGAATTGAATACAATAACTTTATCCACAGTTGTAAGACTAAACCCAGGCGCATCTCGGGAAAATGAGAGCTTCGAGTTCAGTTCTAAAGTGGAATGAAAAACCTGTCACCCAAAGCTTCAACAGTGAAGCTCCGATCCACACACTCAGTGGGTTCTTTGCAAATTGTTTGGACGATTTTGGCTGAAGATGCAGTCATGCCAACGAATCAATAAATTTTACCGTTTTTAACTCTTTGTTTCATTGAATGTTTTTCTGCCATCAAACGAAAACATCATTTCAATGAAGCATTTTAATGCATGCAAAATGCGCAGTTGCTAGCACTGTTGCACTAATCCTGTATCAGTAGAATATGTCGGTTTTAATGTGTAGAAAATTTTTAGTTTCATAAGAAACAAGTTGGACAAACAGACTTATACACGCGAAATTCTAATCTTGATCTCCACTAATTTAACTTACATATCTTTATTGTTTAATACAAAATATAACGGACATAATCATTCTTTTTAATTCATTTGTTTAGTTCAAATTTCACAATACACAGAATAAAAACCAATACTCATTATAATAATCAGAGCTTTCTTGTTGGTGAGCCATTTTCCACTGGACAGTACATTGCGATTGTTGTCTTGCATATTCTACTGTCATCCTTCTATATAACCATATTTTACTCAGCATTACAACATCTATATGGGTAAAATACTCTACGCCAATGTTATTAAAATAATTAAGTTGGAAGGAGCTTAGTTTCTTCAATAAAAGCCCTACAATTAAGTTCTCTCACCTAGATAATTTTATTTACCATAGGGAAAAACACCCAGGTAGAAATTAAAGCAGTAAGGTTTCTTTGGTAGTTTTTTTGGCTCGATTGGTATAAAAAATGAAGAAAAAAACAAAGAAAGATAAAAGACAAATTATCAATAATGACAGTTACCATTCGTTCTCATTGCATCAACATACATCAATACTTGTGATATGAAAGTAATGTAACATCTTGTCAAACGCCCCAACGCGTGGAGGCTTGCAAAGGGGCTCGCACTTTGAGCCTACTTACTTAAAGTTTATTTTCCTAGAAAGAAAGTACAATGCGTGTACTGATGAACTGAATGATATTTGTGAGATCAGTGGAAACCAGAAATAGTGGAAACCAATGTTCTCTTCCGATGACGAAGATCTAAAAGATAAAGCCGTGACGGAAGCAGAAGTGGGACACGGCTGCTCCTTGTTCATTCCACTTTACGCCTTACCTCGTTATCCTGATCCTAAGATGCTGCCGAGTTTAGTATTACAGATATGGGATAAATTATTGTGTTCACTTGTAGAGGAAAAATTGTTGAAGAATTAATTGGCTACCTCCGACCTTAAATTTCACAGCCGTGACTAAGGTAAAAGGGGAACACGGCTGCTCTTCACAGTTACTGGAAGTCTTGAATCAGGTTGGAGAACGTAAATCCGGTCTTCGGGCTGCTGTTCCTCGCGCCCTTAGAGACTATGGTCACTACGATGTCTGTGTTGTAATCTGTGATGCCCAGTCGTTTCAGCGCCGCATTGACGGAGTACCGGATAGTCACAATCCGGAAATTGTCCTCCGATTCGCTCGACGATTCAGAAACAGATCTGCTCATGTCCACCATGCCGCTCGGCAAATGCGTGAAAGTACCCACGAACTCCGACATGTACAAACGCGTCTGCCTGTTAGCTGCCGGGTAATTGATGAACACGTCAAATCTGGCGTATTGTAAATGTGGGATCTTCACCCTCTCCAGTACCACGTCCTCCTGCAACTGATCTACATTCTTAACTCCCTTCTCTCGAGCATCTTCGCTCGTTGGAGCTCGACGATCCAGTCTAAAGCTAACAGGATCCGTGCCGATGTAGTTGTATCCGGATGGAGTCGCTGCAGGATAATCACTGGAATTGCTGGGGTACTCCTGGGCAGGCATGGGCTCATAGTATATCCACATGTTGTCAGATTCACTCACGTCAGTGAACTTGTACCCGAGCTTGGAGCTATCAAGGCTGTCCCTGATCTTGACGATCACCATGTCCTGATTCTCGTCGAAGAAGGTGAACTCGCTGTCGAGAAAATCCCTGGACGTATAGTCCATTCTCTTCCTGTTACCGGATCTCGTGACCTTGTCGGGGATGGTTTTCCACACGTCCCACAGACGATCGACGTTCGAGTGATGAGAGTAGAAGATGGGATCCCGGGCGGCGTAGATGAAATTGCCCATATCCTCGTTGTCGGGGTGCTCAGGGTCATTGATGAGCCCAGTCCATTCGTGAGCTACGTTGTGCACACTCTCCATCCCACCAGACTCTCCGGGAACTTCACCGGCGCTGACGTTGACAGTCGCAGCAGAGTTATCTGTGCCGACAACGTAAGGTCCTCCGAGAAAATCTCGAGCGCTGATTTTCGTGGTCACCTGGTTGTACATGACGCACAAATTCTCGTATCTGATCTGCTTGTCGGTCAGATTCTGTTTGCCCTCTGCTTCGAGCTTGGAGTTGTATCCCAGATACAAGATCTTGGGAGGCAAGTGGTTGGGGTTTCTGAACTGGTCGAAGAGGGCAGAGTTTTGAACGCCGAAGTTGGGAAAGAACATGGCCGGCATCATAGCTGCGTCCTGGTCCAACTGGTTGTCCCAGTTCCAGAAGGGGAGGGCGAAGGTGGGATCATTGATCAAACTGGCGAGAATTCTCTCGTGGTAGTACAGATAGATCCGATGCCACGGAAGAAACGTCCAGCTGTAGTGAACTTGGAGCACAACGCCGGTCTCTGGGCCGAGAGGGCCTGGAGTCCTTCGCTGCTTGAAGGCCTCGTTACAGAAGGAGCAGTGGACCCTCCACTGATTGAGGAAACTCCGCGGGTCGGTGTCCGGGAGCGCCTTCATTCTAGCGTAAGCTAGATTGTACTTCCTGACATAGTCGGGGTCTCTCTGCACAATGTGCGCGGGCTTCCTCTCCCTGAGAATCGGCCGACCGAGGAAAGTACGAGGTATACGCGGAAATCTGAATCTGATGGGAGTTCTCTTGGGAGCAGGGAGGCAGCAATGCAGTGGGGCTCCCTTGAGCACTGTCACGTTTTTGCAGAAGCCGAGACTGGACGCAAGTACTGGATCTGCGTCGACCGTTCCTAGAAGGGCTTGCAAGCAGAGCACAAAGGCGCAGATGTAAACGGCCCACTTGAGCTGTTGATGTGTCTTCGAAGCACTGTTTCTTCCCGAGCCTTGTCGCCCATGCAGCAAGGATTGTGGAATCCATTCTGTTTTTCTGACCCTTGATCCTGAAGGGCTCATTCCAGAGGCCATAGTGTGTATGTGCCTGTACATGCGAGGAAGTGGATCGTTAACGAGTCTAAGTTTCTATTGAGATCTCTTGTACGTCTTCTTAAGCAGACCTGTTGATTTCGTTTTAACTAGAGAGGCTTGACAAAACAAATATGAGGCCAAGATCCCTGCCTATTTGAAGAGCATAGCAATCTGTTTGGCAATCCTGCTGAATGTGAAGGGTAATTCAGATGTCTGTGCTGTTTTGAAAACCGATCTTTGCTGGTTCTGAACACCTGTAACCACAAAATCAAAGACCAAAAGAACAGATCCATACTGTTAAACGGATATTACCTCATAAGGTCGAAGTCGATTGGAATGAGAAGGCCAGCAACCAATTTCGAACTGATAGTCTGCCTAGAAGGTTGTCAAGCTTGCGAAGTTTATCTGGCGTAAAGCGCAATTGAAGTAACCAAGGACCGTTGCCGGCCCTGATCACAATGACAAGCTTGTCCGTACGGACAAAACTTGAACTTAGGAGATGGAGTCTGAAGATGTCACATTTATAGTGCAATCGGCGCGTACATCACAAAATTTCAACACTTAGATTTTTAATTTAGGAAGGTTCAATTGAGTGATATGTGTGTACAGTTCCAGGGTTGAGCTCACCAGATGTTTTGGTGGGGTCGATATGTTCATCTGCGTTGAGACATCAAGCGGACGTCTCCAGAATATACTCTCGACGAACCGACCTCTAAGATTCGCCCCCAATCATGGAGAACGCGTGCATGCACGTCCAATTTCTAATGAGGGATGGCAGTTGATTGTTTGGCGGATGGATGAATGGATTCGATCTACTGGATGAACAAGGTTTCTGGAAACAGATTAAATAGACATTCGCGATAACAGTGGTAGTAGAAAATAGCTAGATCTCTGCTTCCGCAATTCTTATTCGGTGGTCTTAATCTGAGATTGAAAGGTTACTTCTACAATTGAAAGTTTTATCATTCGTGTACCAAAGCTTTATTTCAGGGAAGAGATTCTTTGCGATATTTCTGCATTAGATGAAAGATGAAGCACCGAATAAAGGATCACTTATTCTCTAAAGTACCAGAATTTAATTGGTGAATTAAGCCATGAAATTAAAATATAGCAAGGGTTTTCGAAGAGAAATTGTATAAAATTTTTCGAGTCTGCAGACACTTCTCAATTTGATCATTCTAGCATGCCTCTCCACTACTGAACGTGAATTGACTCCAGACAAGCATGCAATATCTTATTTTGTCCTTAAATGTAATGATGTTGCACTAAGATAGTTCATGACTCTTAAACTTATCGGGTGAAATCACTTTAAGGAAACCTTTCAGGTACAAGCAATTGTATGCTCCAGATCGAAGCCGATCATAGAAGATCGGCGTCAGCAGATGCAGCTGAAATATAAGGACTCGACTTGATATAAATTTGAAGAATCATTGAGGCAGGATTCATCTTCAACAGCGAGCATAGAGGTTGCTTCGGGTAAATGACGCAGATGAACAGATCCAAGTCGGATCCAAGTCAAGACGAGCACCTAACAGATTTGTAGCTAAAAAATCCGAATCGCGAAAGAGCGGATAGGTTCATCTTTTGTACTGCGACCGATGCTCTTATTTCGGGAACAAGCAGCTACTCTGTACGAGCTTTTTGTGATCCCGTTAGGGATACTCACGAGTCGTGAGTATCGACTCGTGATTAGCCGAGTCGTGAGTCACGACTCGGCTAACGGCTAGCCACCGCAATCTGATTTTCGGCCGCTTATTTCCGGGAATTCGGCCGACATTATACATGTAACCCCTATTTCGGGCGGATTTCGGTTTCGGACAATAGTAGATTAGAAGACGGCTAGCCGGCTAAATTTGAGTCCCTAGACGATTGTATCGATTAGCCCGCTAGCCGAAAATTAGGCGGCCACGTGAGCATGACTAGATCCAGTGAACCTGTGTAGCCAACAATTAAAAGATGAGGATGTCATGGATGCCAGCAACTCGAGTCTTCAGCGGTCTAAAATTAAAGATCATGTGACTTAGGGGACAATACTTTGGCTCTGATGACTATGTTACGTTACTGTCTGTTCAGTAAATGTAAATTCTTTCCAAATCCTCTCAGATATTTATTTTTCCATTTTACCAAATGAGAATCTGGATCCCCAAAAGAATATATGTAGAATTTACATAAATTTTTTTGAATACCGATAAATATTTTCTATTCAAATATTCGTTACAGATTAACAATCTATAATTTACATCCAAATATTTTGTTAAAATTTTTGGATGTATTTTTATGTATTTTTACAATATAAAAACATCAACCATGTTTGCTGGGGGATACTATGTTGAAAGAAATACTGATGCATGCAAAGGCAATATTTTGCAATTGAAACTTACATCCTTGAGGTGTAATACCAACACGCATCAACTTTGTTCCTTCTAACCGCAGAAGAAAAGATACATAGTCATATCCAGTTTTGAACAGTTGTGATAAGTGGTGTTCACGGAGACATCATCAGCTATCATTTCGTTACACAAGGAGCCACACGATCTATACACGTCCACGTAGGATGATATTCGACTAATTTTAGGAGATTTACTACACCCAGAAGGCGGTAGGGATATTTCGTTCATGATAATCCAAGAGTCAATCTACAGATCGAATTGCTTATTCTCCAGATTCCAAATCAGGGTGACTACATCAATTCTTCCTGTTGTTGTTTTCAGGATGCTGTACGATATAGCGAATAGAACAGAAACTCTACACCAGAGTGTCAACCAACTACAAAAGATCAAATGTCTCTTAATAAACCCTTCTCTAAAGTCAGTGTAGTCATGAATACCTACATTTCTAATAATTGCCTACATAAAAACAGACATTTTTGGATTAACAGAGATGATAAACGCTCACTTGTCAATTGGTTAAATTGAGCATAAACGACGTAACCATGGGAAGATTATGGAAGTAAGAATTGATATTATAATTTCAGGAGAAGCAATTATTCTTTTCTAAGATATGAAGATATATAAATGATACAGCCCTTAGGAAAAGATGGTGGAATCAAACCCTAAACTATTGTTTCTCAGTATAACATTTGGTACATCGGTCCAGCCCGATGATTATTTTTTTGAACTGTGTTTCAATAACGTACTGAAGGCTGTATAATTTTAATCCAGGATTCAACATCTCATTTCATACAAGGGAAAGCTTGCAATTTTAGCGAGCCGCGATGATGAAAAAGATGGAATCGAGAAGTAACGTTCAGACTGAATACTCAGAAATCATGTAACCTTCACTCGGCACACAGACGATCCCAAAAATGTTTTAAAACTTCATATTTTCACTAAGTAGGAATGAAAAATCCAATTCATATATTAGCAAAACAATATTTATACATCTAGAGAAGTCATAGTTTCCAAACAATAGGTAAAGATAACTTTGTCTATAAATCGAGTGTGTTGAAATTCTTTCTTTACCACTTTATTTGATTCAATGATTAAATAAGGAATACAGTAATTAAATTTGCTGTAGGATTGTAAGTAGCATTCTTCTGACAAGTATAGGGAAAAAAACTGCAGAAGTTATCCAGATGAAGAGGATTTGAAATTTTATTGTAAATAAATCCAAGCTTCAAACATTATGAATAAGTTCTTACGGTTCATGCAATTCAAACGACTATTCAAAAATAATATTTTCTAATCCGATTGACATGTTTCTGAGTATCAAGGAAAACACCAAGTAAAAGCTTACTTCGATGTCAAGCCGCCAATTCTATATGCAGAAAACGATATTAGAATCTGAAAACTCCAGATTGTTTCAGTAAACGTTACCAGTAAAAGTTTAACATAAGTACTAAACAAGAGTTTGGACAATGGTCAACGTTTTGTTTTTTGGCCCTCACATTGTTATTGTCAGGGATGTTCACACAATCACGGGTTACAGAATTTTCTGATAAATCTCTGTACATACTAATTAGGTTGCTATTAGTCTCATCACAAACTAAAACTAAAGGAGCTAACATATTTTAGGTAAATAATACTATTTTGTTTATAAATTTATCTTATGCTACATAAGTTCCTACTAGAATCAAAACACACGTGAAACATATACCAAACTGTTAGAAAAACATCAGATGGCTACTGGTTTTGAGGACATACCTCAAGTGAGGCACGAACAAACATGAAACAAAGAAGAGCATGTCACTGGTGGGGACAAAAAATAACATAGAGGTCATCAATTGTTACAGGAAAACAATGTGACTGAACGTACAGTCCTATATACTAATTATAATAGACTGCGCCGGCACAAATGTTAAAGTCTCATATCTGGGTTTTCCTGTCGGTGGCCTTACGCACGTGTTTAATTTATCACCATACTGTTGTGGGATCCCTTACCAATACTATAGTAATTACTTATTCATGATCATGCCAGAACGAATATAAAATTGCACACTTTATCAAATTTGCACATTGTTTAATGTTGTCTACAGATTGCATAGTCTTTGACTGGATCTTCATCGACGTAAACGTTATAATGGGAAGACATGATCAGGTCATTAAGCGATAAGATCTTTAACAGAAATGAGGCAATCAAGTCCACAGTGTCTATCCTTCAAGCAGGGCTCATCTCTCTGGTGGCTTTGACGTAATTTTTATAAATGTGGAACATCACAGGAGCAAACCTGTTTTGTTTCACGCTTTCTTATTGTAGAATAAATGTCAAACTTGTCATAATTTGCTGTTAGTATATCACTATCTGGTAATCAGGTTGCCTTTATGTGGCGGGTTGTGAAGTAAATATAATGGATAACGTTCTCCAGATCTGGGAAGATCATAGCATGATATATTGCTACTAGTTACTATATAAGTGAACACAGTCAGTATACTGTATATTGCAGAGAGAGTCAATGTATAATGTAGAGAGACTGGATTCTCAGACATAAAGTTTAGGAAGTTCCGCTTGAACACCACAATTGAAGAATTTGCTTTCTAGAAGTAAATGTGCAGCCTAATTGTAATAAAATAGAGGCGTAATTTCTTCCGAAGTCCACGAGATGTGATTTGGTTGCAAAGAAAAGTCACTGAACTCAAATTTTTGTGATTTATAATTTTGTCTGTACTCTGGAAATCTGCGGTCCGAATCTTGACAATTGTTGTTGCTTTACAATCTCTTGACATGACCATGTTACCCTCGGAGGTAGCTATGATTTTATGTCGATTTCTTGCAATACAGACAGATGGTCATCAGACGTCAGATATCTTGCATTTGACAACTTAGTTTTGCTTCATCGTAGAATGTTTCAAAACATCAGGACATGCAATATCATCACTTGTTGTTAAGTTCTACCATGCAGAGAAGGTACTGAGTCTCATTACATGTTCATGAATCTTACGTGTCTCTATCTGTTATCTCAGCGTGTCGTGTTTTGTTTGTCATACTCAGCAGTTAGCACCAAACGATTATCAGATCCGTCTGTAGAGGGAGCATCAAGATAACTTCGCTTAAGTGCTCTGCAGATTAACCATTCACGAGTTCGGTAAAAGTAGCTATATGAAAACTTACCACTCACTATTTCCAGCTATGCTGATTGGTAGATCTAGAATTGGGGGCTCTTTATTGAAGAGACCAACGAAGCAAAACGTGATCAGCATTGTAGGAGAATGATTTGTGGTCGGTTATTCTTGATGTTGTCAAGGAACAATGAGGGTACAGAGAGTTTCAGCTGTCAATCTTGGAGTCCGTAGAGATACAAAATATTTAAAGCAGGAAACATTTAACTTTCGTCCAATTCTGGAACTGTTGCACGTGCCTACATTTGTTTTGTTCAAGTGCTGCTGATCCTCTATTCATGGTTCTCCCCTTTGACTAACAAGTGCTGCCATGATCTGTGTATATAAATGAAGAACATCAGTCCACACTCCACAATCTGGAATACTGTTGAATATATGGAAAAAGAATGTTCAGATTTCGAATCAGTGTCGCATGATCATGAGTGCATAAAGACGAGAGCATGTTGCTGCAGTGATCCTTCCATAATGGGTAAATTTCAATGTACACTTGAGAAAATCTTGGCGAGTATTGAAAATCTAAAGATGTTATCATCAACGCAACATGTAGCCTCCTATGACGCTGTACTTGCATGCTTTGATGTAAATGTTTTGTAGTCAGCAAACTTGCTACTGGATGCTCCGTATACCGTTGACATTATACCTTATCCGTTGCTGAGTTCTAGTTAAAGCATAGACTGATAGCATGGTTCTGAGAGCATTCTCCTATCTTTTCTATGTAATAAACCATCAATATTTGAAAGATCTGTTTTCCAAATTTCTGTTTATATAAATACTTTGACTCATTCAAGTATCTTTTAATGAATACTAATTAATTTAAGACTTAAATAATATTATTTTATATTATAAAAAATGTAGCAATAAATATTAAATAAATTTTATTTTATTTGATTACAATCTCTTTACACAAATCGCAGTTTCAAGTTTTAACCAAAAATTTCACGGCTTTAGTGACAAGGAAGAAACGTGTATAAAAAAGCCTGAACTTACGAGATCATAAAAATCACGAACAAAAAAATGAACTTGATCAAAACTCTTTTGTGATGTATAGCATGATCTTTGCCAAAAAGATTGTTAAATTTCTTCCGCTGGGTAAAAGGCTATTCAGCTTTGGCACTCTGCTATCCGACCTCATTGTCTTGAAGGTAGAAAGTTTACAAATATAACTCAGAGGACCCTCATGAATGTCACACTCAATGCTCTTTTTGACCTTTCTTCTCAAATTTATTTTATAACTACATGTATCACTTCTGATGTGGCCATGACAGGTATTTTGAATGAAATCCAAAATCAAAATGACGTAGAGGAGCTACATTCTTGGAACAAGGTAACTCGTGAACATATTTATAGTTTCACGAGAACACAGGTGCTGCTTACAGATTTACAGCGTGGTCTTGACTAGATCCTGCCAGTATGTCTTTTATAACTCTCTGCATCACTTGCACGCGGCAATCGGCAGTCTCGGTACTAGCTGTCAGGCTAAATCATCACAGCTAAAGTCAGCAGTTACTGTATCATTGAGGGCCATGAGTGCTGGATGCATCACAGTGTTATGAATGATGTAGATGGATGTTCTCTGTCTTCAGATAAAATGGTCAACGTCGCCTCCCATCGCTGATGTGTTCAGTCACATTCGTTGACACAGATCGATCCCCGACTTGAATTCATTTTGCTAGCACCTCCGGAATTTTATATATTGTACACTGGCTTGTGATGAGCCTAGAGTATCAGGAACATAACATGGTCACGTTCGAAGAATAAAATACCATCAAGCCTCGTTATGATAAATAAAATCTAAAAACCTGTTTACGGTTCAGGTCTATGCTCAAAGCGGCATTGTGAAATATTCAATCTTAAGTAGCGCATAGAGGTTCAATCGCTAAGATGTTACTTCTTCAAGGTGATTTATTACGCAGATGTTGCTCCTTACTCTTTACCAGACACCACGGGCATATATAACTAGTGCTCTCACTAGTAGATGGTGAAAATTCTGACTCAGAATAAGACAATTGAAATTTTTTAGGACAAAGATCTAACTTCTGTCGCGGAACCTTTGTTGCTACCAAATTTCTTCCATCAATCAACGGCTGCGTGCACTTAAATAGTTTTCTTGGAAGTTGTTATTTTCCTGTTTCGAAAATCGTTATGCATCCTATATGAGATCAAAAGACATAGAAATCTGCCACAAGAGCACAGAAAATTGTTCCTAATGATCAGCTGCTTCTTTATACGTTCATGTATATTCTCAAGGAGAAACAGGCGATTTATTCCTGTAATCGCGTGATGGATGCAAGCAGATGAATAGCTCGATCCCAAATGCCCTGTACTGAGCTAGTCTGATACTGTGCATAAACATCATTTATTATCCATGTTAAAGAATAAATTACCGAGACATTCATGTTTCTGGTCGAGTGCACTATAAAAGTGCCATCTCCAGACTTCATTTCCCAAGTTCAAGTCTTGTCCCCTACGGACAAGCTTGTCATACACATCAGGACGACTAACAATAGCACTTGAATTCGCTATCGAAGACATTGTGCTCGCAGTCCAGCCTTCCACATATGATCTCCATCGAGTTGCATCTATTGAGGTGCAATGAGTTTCTGTTTTAGATTGCATAATTTCAACTTTGCTTCTGATTTGAGTGCTAAGTTGTTCCAAAAATTAGGAGATTGAAATAAAAAATGTTCATATGTCTTTACTCGATTACAACATCCTAGTCTTGTTTGTTTGATATCTAAGACCTTGCTTCATATTTCCACACTTTTTGGTGCTCATATGTTCATAGTTGCACAAAGAATAAGATAGGCATTCGAATTTGAAATTAGCCTGTATGAAATCAAAGGGATCAAGAGGATTTGTTTCTAGACAACAATTTGGTTTAAGCTAACTGAGCTGGCTCAGCGCACTAAAATGACAAATTGTATCAGAACAATAATCTGGCATTAATATTCGAGTGCATCTTTGTGCCAGACAATCCAGACATAGCAACAGTTGGAGCCCTTAGATTGCATAGACCTTACAACGAGCCCCCGACTCTGGAGGCTGCCAAGCCAGGAGTGTGTGTGACAGGACAGTTTATTACCACCAGTTGCTGACTGAATGTGGCTTACATGGACAATACAATACATAGCTGAAGACGCTGGACATATTGTGACAAGCCCTTCTGTCCTACAGATTGGGAAGATCCCACAGTCATGCGCCTTTGTGCACATGTATATTCAAGTTAATTCGTTTCCAGCACTTCTTTTTGCTTGAAATCCCGTTGATCCACAATTTACGTTTATAAAAGTATTTCTGTGATTTCTAGTTTTCTCTCTCATCTGCAGTGCGTTATTGTGTTGAGACTTGAGTGAAGTCTTAGACGCAACTTTATGGGGTCTGCTCATCCTTTTTAATTTTTTCCTTGCACTATACTTTGCCTACGTGGTAAAGCAAAACACAGTTTTCAAGTCCAGATTACAGACTCCTTAGAGAAGGGAGCTATTGACGAAACAAAAATTTGAGGAGCTTGGGTACTGAATTAACAGAGCGAGGTTTCGATCCTCGGACCTGTGGGTTATAGGCCCACCACGCTTCCGCTGCGCCACTCTGATTGCATGTCTGACTTGCATTCGTAAAGATTTGGACCCTTAATTCTACCAGTTAGTCACGAGCCTATTAGAGCATAACACATGTGAGTGAGTGGCATTTCGGTACCTGAACTAAGTTATTATTTTTACTGAAATTTGGATTCAATGTGTATTACAACAATAAAGGTTGAATAATCCATGAAAATCTCAAAGTTAACACAAGAAACATGTAAATCAACTCTAGTTGGCTACGATAACACGCAATTAGCTTCACTGATTGAAATCCAATGTATCATAAAGAGATACCACGATCACTCTCATATAAGAAGAATGACTAACTATATAAATGATCCAATCAATCTAGCAACTTAACTAGATGGAGCCAACAAAGTCCAAGAGAAGTTAATTGAACTTTTGATACGTTAACAACATCAAAATAGGCTATAATCTTCGTAAGTTTCTAGATGATAAAACATTGGAAAGGTATAAGTGTACAGACTTTAAAAAAAGATAGCATAACAATCTAGATTAGGTCACAACTCATATCTCCAATTTTGAATACAAAAATTAGACAAATGGGACCCAAGTATGCAAAAATAAACACTATGTAAATAGAGTAAAAAGCGTTCATTCAAAAACACGCTATCTGTCTCCACTTTTTTCTGACCAAAAAATTAAATCATGTTAATCTATGCTTAAAGTTTTTGTATCAATTGAATGTGACAAAAATAATGTTTATTGCATATTGATGTAACATTTTACTATCATTATTTTCATGTCTGCTCGATCTTACAACTAAAAAAATTTTGTTCTTGAAACAAACATCCAAGTTTGAAGTGCAATCCTTTGAAACAATCTTTCGAAAATTATTATCAACAGCAGAAAAACTATGTAAAGAATGACTCAAATAGAAATTATTTTATTTTTTTAAATAATTAAGAGTTTTTGAATTTTTTTTTCCAATATGATAAAACCTAAAAAAAAAAGTTTAAGTACAAGATGTATATCTTTGTGAAGATTTAGATTATATTTGATTAGAATTGTTATCAAAGAACATATACTCCTCACTTTCTTACACTTTTAGATGCTAATAAAACAACTTTTAACCCTGCTAACACGAAGTGAAATGTTTGGTATAATTTCACGTGCATTTGCAATGTTGATGATAGCACTTGGATAGAACCCCAAGTAGCACGGTTTTGTAGGATTTTGGTAGTGGAGATTTTGGATGATATGATTTAGTAGTGTGACCAAGTTTCAAATAGATGAATAGTTGGATGGTTAGTATGTGATTCTTGTTCAAGATGATAACTTGTGGAATGTTTGAAAATCTTATTACTGGAAGTTTGAATGTTGGCATTCAAGGTAGTTTTACTATCATTTGACAAAAATGTGACTCTCTTGGTAAGTAAGATGAAATTTTACCCCATGCTAGTGGCACCTGAGATAGTTTTACCATCACAAGATGAAGATAGCATGCAAGAAACTAACGATAGGTCAATGGGAAGTGGAAATCTTTTCAATGCCTTTGGGAATTAATCTGATTTTAGAGCTATATTTGATTCATGTTTATTTTTCTATCGTACCACTACTTTTATTTTACACTCAAAACTTTCATAGTATCTCCGTGAACTATACATATAGCTGGTGCTACACGTATTTTATCTCCTGTCAAGGACACGTGTTATACCATGTGTAATGTGGATTTTCATATGTTATGGATGTGTTTAATGATTGCATACAAATGGGCATAAATATCGTAAAACACTCCTATCATACCTTTGTGACGTTAAATATCGACAACCTGAAGAACCTGATTCCCCTAAGAAAATAAAATGATATTTGAATACTTGGTCCAGAACTCTATATTAAACACGAATCACTTCACCATAGGTCAGGAAACCAGGGTCCGCTCCCTAAACTGGAAATCCTTTTAGTAGCATCATACTATGAGGAAACATATTAACTTTATGAATCTTCGTCCCTATGATAGAAAGACATTCAATGAGTCAGAGACTTGAACACCGGTGTGTGATAATCCCCGCAATATTTATTGCTTTATATGCAAAAATGAATGTTCTTCAGTCAAAATAGTCTAACCTAATCCAATTGCGAAGATGTCACTGAGTATGCCGATTGGGTTCAATTGTGGGACGTTCTGGGTGACAGTTTCTTCCCTCCAAGTAATAACTTGGAAGACTATGGAGTTAAATCCTAAGCATGAGATGCTTCTGAGTTCAATCTTACAGGTGTAAACTAATTAAATTTGTTCAATTGTGAAGAAAGAATGTTGTAGAAACTATTTGGCCACCTCTGACTACAGGGTAAAACTCGAACGCGGCTGCTCTTCACAGTTACTGGAAGTCTTGAATGAGGTTGGAGAACGTAAATCCGGTCTTCGGGCTGCTGTTCCTCGCGCCCTTAGAGACTATGGTCACTACGATGTCCGCGTTGTAATCTGTGATGCCCAGTCGTTTCAGCGCCGCATTGACGGAGTACCGGATAGTCACAATCCGGAAATTGTCCTCCGATTCGCTTGACGATTCAGACACAGATCTGCTCATGTCCACCATGCCGCTCGGCAAATGCGTGAAAGTACCCACGTACTCCGACATGTACAAACGCGTCTGCCTGTTAGCTGCCGGATAATTGATGAACACGTCAAATCTGGCGTATTGTAAATGTGGGATCTTCACCCTCTCCAGAACCACGTCCTCCTGCAACTGATCCACATTCTTCACTCCCTTCTCTCGAGCATCTTCGCTCGTTGGAGCTCGACGATCCAGTCTAAAGCTAACAGGATCCGTGCCGATGTAGTTGTATCCGGATGCAGCCGCTGCAGGATACTCACTGGAATTGCTGGAGGACTCCTGCGCAGGCATGGGCTCATAGTATATCCACATGTTGTCAGATTCACTCACGTCAGTGAACTTGTACCCGAGCTTGCTGCTATCAAGGCTGTCCCTGATCTTGACGATCACCATGTCCTGATTCTCGTCGAAGAAAGTGAACTCGCTGTCGAGAAAATCCCTGGACGTATAGTCCATTCTCTTCCTGTTACCGGATCTCGTGACCTTGTCGGGGATGGTTTTCCACACGTCCCACAGACGATCGACGTTCGAGTGATGAGAGTAGAAGATGGGATCCCGGGCGGCGTAGATGAAATTGCCCATGTCCTCGTTGTCGGGATGTTCAGGGTCATTGATGAGCCCGGTCCACTCGTGAGCCACATTGTGGACAGATTCCATCCCACCAGACTCTCCGGGAACTTCACCCGCGCTGACGTTGACAGTCGCCGCAGAGTTATCAGTCCCGACAACGTAAGGACCTCCGAGAAAATCTCGAGCGCTGATTTTCGTGGTCACCTGGTTGTACATGACGCACAAATTCTCGTATCTGATTTGCTTGTCGGTCAGATTCTGTTGGCCCTCTGCTTCGAGCTTGGAGTTGTATCCCAGATACAAGATCTTGGGAGGCAAGTGGTTGGGGTTTCTGAACTGGTCGAAGAGGGCAGAGTTTTGAACGCCGAAGTTGGGAAAGAACATGGCGGGCATCATAGCTGCTTCCTGGTCCAACTGGTTGTCCCAGTTCCAGAAGGGGAGGGCGAAGGTGGGATCATTGATCAAACTGGCGAGAATTCTCTCGTGGTAGTACAGATAGATCCGATGCCACGGAAGAAACGTCCAGCTGTAGTGGACTTGGAGCACAACGCCGGTCTCTGGGCCGAGAGGGCCTGGAGTTCGTCGCTGCTTGAAGGCCTCGTTACAGAAGGAGCAGTGGACCCTCCACTGATTGAGGAAACTCCGCGGGTCGGTGTCCGGGAGCGCCTTCATTCTAGCGTAAGCTAGATTGTACTTCCTGACATAGTCGGGGTCCCTCTGCACAATGTGCGCGGGCTTCCTCTCCCTGAGAATCGGCCGACCGAGGAGAGTACGAGGTATACGTGGAAATCTGAATCTGATGGGTGTTCTCTTGGGAGCAGGCAGGCAGCAATGCAGTGGAGCTCCCTTGAGCACTGTCACATTTTTGCAGAAGCCCAGACTGGACGCAAGTACTGGATCTGCGTCGACCGTTCCGAGAAGGGCTTGCAAGCAGAACACAAAGGCGCAGATGTAAACGACCCACTTGATCGTTTGACTTATCTTCAAAGCACTGTTACTTCCCGAGCTTTCTCGCCCCCGCAGCAAGGACTGTGGAATCCTTTTCAAGGTTTGTGAGCTTGACACTGGAACTCTCGTTTCTGTGGCCATTGTGTTTGTGGTCCTGCGCACGAAGATGCACTCGAAAATTAGTGCCAGATTTATGTTCTGACATAATTTATCATCTCAGTACCCTTAGCAAGCTGAGTTGAACGAAATTGGTGTCTAGAAACAAATCCTCTTGATCCCTTTGATTCATATGGGCTAATTTCAAACTAGAATACCTATTTTATTTTTTCTGCATCTTTGAAAATATGAGCACCAACAAGTGTGGAAATCTTAAGCAAGGTCTCAAACATGTCAAGATGTCAAACAAACGAGACTAGGATGTTGTAATCAAGTAAAGACTGGTGAGCATGTTTGATTTCAATCTCCTAAGTACTGGAACACCTCAAGACTCAAATCACAAGCAAAGCTAAAATTATTCCATCTAAAATAGAAAGTCATTGCACCTCAAGAGGTCCAACTCGATGGAGATCATATGTGGAAGGCTGGACTGCGAGCACAATATCTTCGAAAGCGAACTCAAGTGCTATTGTTAGTCGTCCTGATGTTAATGACAAGCTTGTCCGTAGGGGACAAGACTTGAACTTGGGAAATGGGGTTTAGTGATGGCACTTTTATAGTGCACTCGACCGGGAACATGATCGTCTCGGTAATATATTCTTTAACAAGGATAAAAATATGATATTTATGCACAGTTTCAGCCTCTAACTCAGTACAGGACATTTGGGATCAAGCTATTCATCTGCTTGCATCCATCATGCGATTACAGGAGTAAATCGCCTGTTACTCCTGGAGAATGACATGAACGTATAAAGAAGCAGCTGATCATTAGGAACAGTTCTC